GATAAACAATAACTTTATTTTCAGTGCATGAAGAATTTTGGACGATATGTTCACATGAAAAACAGGCAACGACCAATCAAATCTCACCCTGTGGGAGGGGCAGAGACACAAACTACTGGAGGAAATCTCACCATTGTGGGAGGAGCAGAGACACAAACTACTGAAGGAACTCTCACCATTGTGGGAGGGGCAGAGACACCAACTACTGGGGGAAATCTCACCATTGTGGGAGGGGCAGAGACACAAACTACTGGGGGGAAATCTCACCATTGTGGGAGGGGCAGAGACACAAACTACTGGGGGGTGGGTAGTTAAGTCAATAAAATACAGTTACATACCTGCATCTCGGCTCCTGGTTGGCAGCGGAAGGAACAGACAGGACAATATGTATTAAAGGAGCACTCCATGACAATAACATTCGCCTCTCAATTATTATTATGTTCTATGAAGCTACAGTTCCTTTATGGCAAGAAGCATATCCCTCTAATATGACAGAAACTACAAGAGCCTGTACAAGAAAATGAGATTAGCAATAAACTATTTCCACAAAGTTGATGCCTTACCATGTAAAGTTTGCCAAAAATAACATGTTACGGTACGGTACGGAAGGGTTAGACCCCCCCCTCCTGCCAGGTTTCTATTACAGTCTGGATCCCCCTCTGGGGAGATTCTCCTCTCTCTCTGTCCTGGTGTCACAGAGACAGGAAGTGAGGGGACTCTAACATGTTACGGTTGTCTCCAGAAGAGGAAGTGAGGGGGGATGGGGTGGTCAGCAATAAATCAGGTCAGGGATTGTAACTCCCTTATAATAAACGATTCGGCTGGTTTGAGGTTTTCACCCCAGGCCGGAAGTGATCCGGTTTCCTTCTTCTGAAGACAACTTGTGATCTTTGTATCACGGAAACAAATATTTCACGACGCGGCCTACGAGGCGGACGTGCGGAAAGATTCCACCCGACACACGCACTGAGCAGTATTGATCCGCCTGATCACTGAACACGATCGGTTATCGGGGAGAACAATCTTATCGGAGCAGGAAAATTATCTGCAATTCGTAGTATTGATGTCACAATGTCCCGGACTGTCAGCGGTACCGGGGAAGGTCCGGCCTGTGCTCAGGGTAAGGGCCCACTACAGGTAATATGTTGTATTCTGGTACCTGTAAGGCAGGGATGGCCAAACTGCGGCCCTCCAGCTGGGGTGGAACTACGAATCCCATGAGGCATTGCAATATTCTCACAGCCACAGACGTGACTCCCGGAGAGAGAGATGCTTCATGGGATTTGTAGTTTCACCCCCAGCTGGAGGGCCGGAGTTTGGCTACCCCTGCTGCAAGGGGTTAATACCCGGAAAGATAATATTCAGTACAGTATATGAAGAACATTTTTAGATTTCATTATCTATATGTTTCTCCACGTTTCCATGCAGGCCAAGCTGTCCAGCAGAAGTGGCCGGTACTGGGTTATGGGACAAACCATATAACACTGCCGGGGGTGGTTACAATAATCAGCTTTTATTCATATCATTCAAAACTTCTTTTCAAAAAGTGTTAGATTTTTAGGTAAAAGACATAATAAACCCCAACTTCAGCTATTAAAATGTGTGACAGCAGTGGCGTCACAAGGGGGGGTGCGGCCCGCACACGGGTGACACCATTGGAGCGGTGACACCAAAATGACTCACAGTCATTTTGGTGTCACCCCCTATGAAAAGTCGGGCACTCAGTCATGGACCGAACGCCCGACAGTATCAGGAGAGAGAGGAGGGGACCTTATCCCGCTGGGTGACTGTCCCCTCCTCTCTCTGCCGGCATCCATCACCAAGATATCAGAATACTGCCGCACATGCGCAGTGACGTCTCGGTGTCGCCCGGTGCGCACCACACTATGTATACATATACACGTGACATCATTACGGACGTGTGTAATGACATTATGTGCACTTCACCGCCGGCAGCCACTCTTGGCGGTGGATGCCGGCAAAGGGAGGAGGGGACGGTCGTCCAGCGGGATAAGGTACGCCGTCGGGTC